GTCTCAGAGTCTTTTCTCTCTCCCCGGCACCTATTATCATCTGCTCCCTGTCTCTCATGCTCCTCCAAAAGAGCTCCCTTCCAACCTCGTTGTTTCAGCGCTGCCTTCTCTCAATATCCTATAACTATTCCACTTCAAATAATTCTCGTTCTGTTCGCAGGTCCTCTGTCAAGAACGATGTTTGCCCGACTGTTCGCAATCGCGTTTCTTCTACTCGCACTGGTAGGCACAGCATCAGCCCAGATTCTTGGTAAGTAACTCAGTATGTATAGATGGTATGAAGCCTTTGAATCATAAATAGCAGTCACTAGTGCCTTCAAGCACATTTTGCAATCATAGAGGTGTGTCTTAAGGTGTACCCCCCCCCAAGAGGCCATCGCGCGGCGAAGGAAGAGACGCAGATGCGGCAAAGGACGAGTCGCAGCGCGTGCTGTGCGATATGAGACGTAGTATGGTACACTCTATTTAACCTGACGCCTAACCGCTACAGTATGCGCTGCGACTCGTCCTTTGCCGCGTCTGCGTCTCTTCCTTCGCCGCGCGATGGGCCTCTTGGGGGACACCTGCGTCTTATTGCTTCAACTATTGACTTGCTTCGACTATTAAGGCTTCAATAACATCTTGGGTCGAGCATTAGGGAGCGAAAAAACCTGCTGTAAACCCTCAAATCCTTGTCCACCCTGAAAGAGGAATTCCTTGGACTTTCCTTGTCGAATGTCAACTCGTTTTATTCCGGTTTAGCGAATCACTGAAATTGCAAAGATTGGCACCGGCATTGATGTGCTTTACCATATCAAGACGGAGGGCTTGCCAGTGAGAAGATAGCAATGGAGAAAGGATTCCACCCACACGATTAGTGCGCTATGTGGTTCTGAGGAATTCTGACTTTGTTATCTTTGATCACTGGTCGACCCGAAATTAAACATGCTTTGAGTTTCTCAAAATCTACTATCGGCCCATCAATTTATCACAAGCTATAGCGCTAGCGCTACAAAAAGACGCATTTGTCGACTAGAAAGATCAAACGAGCAAAAATTCCACTGAATGTTGTGTAACAAAAACAGACAATCAGAAGTTTTATTTCGAAAGAATTCAATTTTACCAAAACTCGACATATTCCGAAAAACAACGCAAAAGAAAACAATAAGAATCCTTCGAGAGCTTCGGCGAACGTCGGTGTGTAACATCTTCTTCAAGCATGGATTGCCTTAAAGGCAGCGATTACGTTAAGGAGGAAACACATCGGGGAAGCATATGCACCACACAAAGCAGGTACTTGGCTGCCAAGGAAGCGATATGAGATCAACGACGGAAGGTGCGCTGGTTGTTGGGGCAGGACTTCGAAAGCACTCCGCCCCAAAGGGTCGCGCCACTATGTTATTTTGTTAGTGATTTAGTACGAACTTGCGTGGCGAGCTTGACAAAATGGAGCAACTCGATTGGCCATGATTTTGGATGATCACCAACCCTTACGGTATGAACTCGTTAAATATTTCGATTTTAGGCTGTCACTGTTCTAGTGAAACCCAACGCCAAAAAAAGGTCCGCTTTTCGTGCCTCTTGACGCAGTCTGCAAGCTTTTGCGTCCATTAGCACGCGTTCGCACCTCACGTTCTCCTTAGGACACCTTCTCGAATCTATTGTTAATTCGCTGGCTTTAAAATCAAATTGAACACCCTTACGGGAGCCGCGCCAATAGAATAGAACTGGACAACAAAAATTCCACTTTCTTTCTTCCCAGATCCGAATTTCAAGATCAAGGGTGTTCAGTGAAGCAGATATGAAAAAGAAAGCATGTGAAACAGCTCGGAACCATAGAAATTGGGCCCCTCCCCTGCCCGCTGATTTCGGCGTCCAATGCTACTCTCATCGGACGGTGCCTTTTCAATGCTAACGCTCTTCTCTTATTCGAAATCTTGTCGGCTATACGTCTGCAGAAAGATGTGATGATATCGGGGTTTCCGCGCCAATTGATCCAAAAGAAAAGCCATGCTGTTTTTGAGACATACTTTTGATAATGACGTGGTCCACACCCTTAGGGTCCGCCTGTTCCTCGCTAACAAGTTGTAACGTTATAATACCAGATTAGTCCCCCGTCAACCGCCGGGACCTTCCTTTCCTGCGCAAGCTTTCTATCCTCCGCTATGGTCCCTTCCTCCTGTGACACCAACACCTCCTGGAAGTGACGCGTATGCAACACAATGGTGTTTCAAACAGTAGAAGGGACACAATCATGATATGACGGTAGATTTTTCGCTTCCCTTCCTCATCCTCCCTTCCTCTCTCCACTGCCCTCCAGCTGCCACTGCAGCACCATGTGGAATGAACGGAAGTGTGCTAAGCAGGTGTTTATATAGCCCTGAGAGTGTTATCACAACTATCCTGCTACAAAACATTGATATCTCAAATCCTGTAAGCTACCCGATTTGTTAGCGGTTTGTTTATCCCATGAGCTTCCTTCTCACTCACTTCATTTTGCGGACGGACACACATACATACATACACACATACAGATACACAACCGACACACAAAGTTAGCGCTTTATAAAATAGAAGGATGTTGTGAGTAATTTCCCCTTCTTCGACCTTCGTTCATGTCGTGGAATCCTCCTTCAAGAGAATAGCGGTCTTCATGATTCTAATAAATCATGAAGACCGCTATTCTCTTGATTCATTGGAACCTTTGCTAATACTTTGCACACATGCCCAATCACTCGTGAAGGTATTCGTACAAGTTGATATATGTTCGTCAGACAACGGTCATAGGTCACTTCGGAGTGAGACAGGGCCCGACTAGTTTTTCATCCGCCAGCCACTTTGTTAGAAAAATGTTCCGAGCGACGAAATGTTCAGCAGTGATTGATTCCAACGAAAAACCTACTGAACTGATTGATACTTCTGTTATCGTTCACCGCGAGAATCGCCAGTGGAATAAGCCGTACTAAAGCGATGAAAGGCTTTGGACACGTGAAAGAATTTGATCCCAAGTTATGATCAAGCTCGAAAAGAGCCCGTGCAGAAGTCATCGCAGTGACAAGACCGCTTTTGACTATAATAATCATAACAGTGATGGTGATGATCATCAAAAGCAGTTTACCAGTATGAAAAACACAGCTGTGGTCAAAAGGGTTCGCCGAAAGCTTTTTTGTGCATTATTTTTTCTCACTCAAACAGTGCCCTTCAAATATTAATAAGACATGCCTTTCAAAGCCTTCAAAACCTTGACTCTTGAAGAGTTTAGATATTGAAAGAAAGGCTTCAAACTAATCTTTAGATCTTTTCTGAAGGGAAGAAATGAAATCATAAAAAGCTTTTGCTGAACCCTTTTGACCGCTACCGTATTTTTTCATCAGTTTTCCATACGGGGAGACGATCAAAAGTCCCCCGCGACCGCTGCGGCAGAACTAGGTCCCCGCGCGCGACGTCGCCGACGTTTGAAACATGGCAGTTTGCCAAGTTCAGGATTCGCCTCTCGACGATTGATACAACGCTTTCCTGCACCCTCTTGTAGGCCCCATTCCTGCATTTGTTTTAGCTTAGTCCTCGCAACTTGATACGTTTCAAGCTGCAAGGACCTGGAGACATAGCATAACCCGCCGCCGTGGGACTCGACCTCCAATGGACTCTGGTTTCAGCATTCTTCCATACGCTTGCAGCCTCAGAGGACAGAAAGGACGCCGAAGTGTTCAGCACCATTCCCCTTCGAGTGTATTATCAATCTTGTTTGATATCAAACATAGAATGTGCCAACCTGTTGGGGCGCACGTTGTCATCTTACATCCAATGGAATTGGTAAAGACGTTAAGTTAGACTCGGGAGCCACTTCAAGGTCAACCTCTCTTGGAAGGAGGTGAATATGTAATTGAATTCTTGAGAGGGATCGTATTAGATAGAACCAGTATTGCACTTTCGGGAAAGAAGCTGAAAGGAACTTTTTCTTCGTTCCGCAAGGACACGTTGTCAGGTGATACCAGTTCGCTATGATGGGAGAATCTCTCAAACGACAGAGACTCCAAAGAAAGTCCTGGTCCGAAATAATACATTCTATAGCATTGCTGACGCTCCTGGCAAGCAGCAGAAACACCTACAAAGGCGGTCATGTGGAACAATTGTGTGGCGCCTAATCGGCAATATACTGGGGCATCGTGGTCGCCCACGTATGAAACCGCAATAAGGTCTCCTTCTTTCTCGAAATTAGCAGGGGAGCGAGACTTCAAGGTGCGTCAGGCGTTTTCTGTGATTCTTTGTTAACAGGGTTCGTGCCCCTCTTAGGCTTTGTACTAAAAGAATGCGCGTATCTTGCGATGGCACTCAACTGTTTATTTAGATTCTTCCTAGACATTATTATAAACTCAAGCCCTGAAAAAATGTAAACAGGACATATGTTATAATTGAAGTAAAGCAGTGAAGGTGAATAAAAATCATCTGAAGGTGACTAATGGAAAGACTGATTTTCAGGACGTCCATTTATCGCACGCCCGGTTATAATGAGGCCTGTACCTGTTGGACCAGGTTTTGGTGAGCTATGTTTTCAGCTTTCTGAACTGAATAAAATAAAATAGCTCGTTAAATAAATTGATATTTATTGTTTATCTTTAGGTCCAAGGATCTACGGATAAAATTATGGGATGGCAAAGGATTAAAGACAACTGTGAAGTAATTTTCCCGTACGATAAAGAGCTATTTACGTGATTTTTGTTGATACAGCGCTCATCAAAGGCACAGCCCAAGTTCATGGCGACAGCATGATTTTATTTATCTTTTCCACAAATCGGTAGCTCAAAGGCATGCCCCAGGATCAAATTGGTATGGTTTTTGCGAATGCGAATGTATTGGTGCGAAATGGGCCGGCAGTAAGAAAAAAGGAAAAGAATCCGTCGAAAACGCTTAGGTTAAGGGCTCACTCACCTTCCTAATCGGCTGTGCTAAGGGAATGAGAGACTAAGCGCGGAGAGGAGAGTATGAGGCGAGAGAGCGCAACAGATGAGAGGGCGCCAGACAACAGCCTGATAAAAGAAAAAATCTGCAGCTGCAGCAGCTTACTTTGCAAGGCCCTAGCGCTCTTGTCGGTTGATTTCCGTGCACGGGAATGCCACATCTGTGATTGTCCTCTAGGGTCTATCCTACCCATGAAGGGAATTGTTCACACGAATTCTGCCTGGGCAGTGTCTTTAAGGGCTATACTCTAAGATGAAAACGAAAGCAAGAAAATTGTTTTTGTCCTGGTAGAACATACGAAAAACATACGAAAAACTCGAATCCTAATCGATGAGTTGTTCTGCCTGTTCTTCTTATTCGAATGTTTGAAGTAAATTTATGCGATGCGTCGCATAACACGCGACCGTGCCTGCACGTACATCTTTCCATTGGCTTCGTCCTTGGAACCGAGGATGGTTCTTGAAGCATTCCATCGTTCTAAAATCTCATTTCACTGAATTGTTGTACGGTGTCTCCAGTGACTGCAAATAACGTGCTTAATGGGTAAAGAAAAGGTTTGAATTCCCATGGACTATTCCCTAATTACACGACGCAAGGCCTTTAGATAATTTCAGAAACACAATCCGTGACAGCAAATATGGGATAGATATGTATGCGGGTCAATATGTATATACTAGTTAACTCGCTAACTAAGGAAAAATGAGACCACTGAACGTCCTCAAAACTTCCTCCTTTTTCTGCGAGATTGGAGGGTCTGGGAGACAATCATTGAAGAGATACGAGGCATCAAAGCGACAAAAGTACGGACGAAGGCGAAATTGTTAGCGAGGGACTCATGACAGAGATCGAAATGGTGGGCGTGATTGGTTGCTTGAGGTGTTTATGGTTGCATATAAGACCGGGGAAAGCGGATAGAGTTTGGAAAAGGGAAGAAGTCACCTGCCATTGATGGGCGGGCATGCACAAAGTGGGTGGAGTTCGCAACAAATCTTATAAATCGTTTCAGAAACAGTTCAGAGACCGGGAAAAAGCGAAACTAATGGGTTTGGCAAAGGCGGAGGACGGACAAAAGCCACCGGTGGGCGGGCATGCAAGATGGCCAACTATTAGTTTCGACCACTATTATCGCCGTTTTTTCTTCAGCCTTATGGTTCCCTTAATGTTTTGGCCGCATTGTTTCGAAGACTTATGATGTATTCCTGAGAGCACGCAATCCCTTTGAACCATTTTCGATGTCAACACTTTTGTGCTTGCCTGGCCACTGGAGCACGCGGCAAAAAAAAAGCTGTCATGAGTGCAAGTTGAGCTCGAAAAAGCTTCTGCATCTGCTCGTAGAATCAATGAAGCCTGGGATGAAGGCACGGTTGCAGAGAGGACTGTTCCAGAGCGTTTGTTGATTACTCATTTATTGTTGCTTTTGTTTGACTTTGTTAATAAACTTATGAGTGAAATGAAGGCGGATTACTTTTGCTCAACCTAATATAAAACGCATTCCCCGTGTTATAACAAGATTATTAGTAAGGAACATAGGATGTATACCGTAACCCAACGTTTGCGTAGAGCGCGGTTTTTTTGCCGGGCTTTCCAGTAACAATGCCATTCCCACTTTTAAATTTTTTGTAGAGAGGCGATCAAGACGGCGCCGCCTGCTGTTCGAGCAGCGAAAACCCCGGCGTCGCAGCATTCGCCTCGCCGCTTTCGCAGCCGTTTCGCCGCGCCGGCTGCGCGCGCGCGCTCCGCGCGCGAGCACAGGGAGGTGATCCCCGGGGTGCCGCCTCATCCGACGTGTGGCGACAACCGCTCGCGTTGTGTCCTCCACCTTCTACATAAACGGCGCATAGTACTCTGCGCGGGCCTGCTCGACGCATTCTCTCTTCGTTGAGAGGGTGCAGAGAAGACGAGAAAATCGATGACACGTGAGAATGCGCGCCCCAGTGCAACGTCGAGAAGGTTACGGTATACACCCTATGTTCCTGAACTTATAATCTTGTGTGTCTACCTTACGGCCAATGTAGTTCCTTCGCATTGCCCACGCAGCGTGTTCACGGATACAAACGCTTCGTATCGCTTACGAACCAGCAAGACATACGAATTTGAGGAAGTTCTGAACGTTAAATGGAGCTTGATGAAGCACAATATTCATGAAACAATATACGTATAAATATTTCAACCCGGTTTATCAATTTCGGTGATTTTATTTGGATCACTTTGCGAAAACACTATTCAATAAACAAGAGTCAGATGTAGCAGGTACAAGAGTCCAGGTGGAGATGAACCACGGTCTAAAGTGCGGAATTCAAATCCATGTTGGTTGGCGCTGCGGGGTTGTCCTTGACAGGGGATCACCTGAATATGAAACAGGGAGCACCTTGCGGCGCCAGTGGGCACACGTGTTGTGGTGGTCCCCCCTGGAACAATGTGACCAGTACAATCAGCCAATCTTATGCTTTTACCGTATTACCGCTTTTTATCACTAGCGTTACTTACCGCATTTCTCCGATAAGATGCCTCTCCATCTCAAATTTCTGTAGATAGCGAGTGCATATATACGCTGTTCTAAGCACCGAAATCGGTACTACGAAACACATATCGTCGTTCATAATTGACCTCGCAGCCAGCTTTAACACATTGACGCCCGCACTGATTTCGGCGCATGTCACACATGTGACATAGCTGCATTACCTGCGTGCATACCCGGCGATGCACAAATCTCACATTCGGGACATTTTGTGGAATTTCTCTACAGGACCCATATATCTCGCTACAAGACCCATGTATTTCGCCACAGGACCCACACAATCTCAACTGCAACCTCCCCATTGGCTGGCAACGTATTGCTTTTGTTTTCTCTTTGTTCTACGTTTTTTAGAGCTATTCGAGTTTGTTGTTAAACAGTTTATGAGGGTTCAAACTGAGGCACTGGTTGTGCAAATTGAAGTTCCAAAAGTATCTTGAAATTGAAGATGGAGAGCAGCCATGTGTTTAGTGGATTCAAGGCACTAGTGGAACTTCTATAGTCACAGAAGTAATGAAAAAAGATATAAGGGGAGCTTAAAATCAATGTGCATACCGGGCGATGCACAAATGTCAGATGTGGGAGTTTCGACGTGCATACCCGGCGATGCACGCGGGCAATGTGTTAACTTCGCCTTCATATCCTCTATCAACACCTAAAAATAGTCATAAAAGGACAACGAGAATGCAGATTTATATGATCACAGCGCTCATTTAATCTTTTGAAGAGCAGGACGATCAGAGCACCTCAATACAGAAAATGAACAGATCTTGCCAACTGCAGCAAAAATGGACAAGAGACCGTCAAAAGAAGCGCTCATTCAAGGACAAGATTTCCTTGTGCTTTGCCAACAGAGAGCGTAATTGGGCGATCAGAGCTGCGTCCTTAATTAAGCCGACTAGGGTGAGTTTGACGCATTAGATCAACGAAGCGATCATCATCAACAACCCACCTAAGCTTTTTCTTAAGCGATGGCGGTGCGGATACTATTGGCTCATGATTTGGCTCAAGTGGCGACACAAATGTACCACATAAAGCAGTCGTAGTGCAGTCATAGAAACCGTTAACCCTTTCCGGACCGCGCACTTTTTGCGCTCACGGCCGCATGCTGCGCGGCAAGCATAAATATCATATATTTAATCTGTATTCCCACTAAAGCCATTATTTTGTCTCGTTTATGTCTTTGTCATGTCTCGAAGAATATATAAGATTAATTTGACAGAAAACTGTTTTGCAAAAAAAGGGAAAGGGCCATAAAAAGGGAGGAAGGGACGAAAATTGTTCAAAATAAGTTGGTATGGAGAAAAAGGGAGTAGAACGTGCCCAAAACGATTGGATCCATAAGAATCAGATACGACGAGCAGGATATTTCACAAATTCTTCGTTTTTAAGTGTTTTCAAGCGAACTACAACTGTTTTCTTTGAGCCCAAAGTGGAAGTCCATTTACTCTTTGGTTATTTTAGAACCTAGATTAAACCTAAAGTCTAGGTTTTTTCATACATATGGCATGAGTCTGTTACATAGGTATGTAAACAACACATAAAATTTTATCGAAAAACCAAACTCTTGGAAAAATCAGCTCTTGAAGTTCCTGACACACCATGTGTGTCAGGCGGTCCGGAAGTTAAAGAAACGAGAGTTCATCGAACTTCTGAAGTAAAGATAATAACTTCGTATAGCATACATTATACGAAGTTATACGAATGTGTTCGAGTAGAAATCACATGAGAAAAAGATAAGAAATCTGGTTTGTTCGCTGTACCCATTGCCTCCGTTCAAAATAATTAGTATTCACCGAACACTTATGAACGATTGTTCCTTTTAATTCCTATGAGTGCAAGTACCAGTTCTCTAATTCAGTTTTTCTAGGAGCGAAAAAGGAATTGTGTCTCCAGCCTGCCACCGATATGTCGTGATTTCTGAGCCAGTTATATAAATAGTTGTGCAAAGGAGAATGATTCCCTCTCATTGTGCGCTTTCAGTGCTTCTATCTGTTCAATTTGGAAATCCTGGGCTCAATGCGGTAAAAGCTATGTATAGTGAAGACAATTGCTGATACTTGAAAGGGTTAAAGTTAGAGAACAGATAAGTTCTGCTCTGCCCTATTGGGAAGTCAATTGGAGCATTCAACAATTTTCAACTCGCCGCATTTAGATTCCCTTGTAGCTTATGCCTGCTGTCACACTTCTCTTAAACGCACGTCTTT